ATTAGTTCTAAATATAAGAATTTAATATATTTTGGTCCCTCATATTTGTTCATATTTTCGATAAAACAATCAGTGCAGTAGTTACATATATTAAATGTTAGTTATATCTACTACATATGATTAGTGAAAGTATTTTAGACAAGACAAAATCTATTTATTACAAATAACTAGTTAAACTAATTTTTTTAATCTAATCAAATTAGTCAACTAACTTTTATACTAGTATTAAAGACCAAAAGTAATAATACATATTTCTAATTAAAAAACAATCAAGAATGTAGATTACAAAATGAAAGATAAAATAAGGACTAACTGTAGTGGATACTGTTCATTACACAAGACGCAACGTTGTTCTTTTCCTTTGAACCTTAAAAAGCATTTTAAAAAATAATTTTATATAAATTGAGATAACTTTTTTTTTCCACATACTTATATCGTACATGCCATAAAATTATAAAAAAATTGGTAAAAAAATCTCTATTTAAAATTTTAATTAGTCAGAAAAATCTGAATTGTATAAATATAAGTAGGACACGGGAATGCAACATATCAGTTATTGGATAAATTTTGAACCATTTGTCAAGAGAGAGAGATGGCCGTGTTTTATTTTCTTGGGCTTTTTCTGGAGTTGGATCAAATCATTTACCGATGGGTCCATCGAGTTACTATTCGGGTTGTTGGCTCCTTCACAGCCCTACTTTCGGCGCTTCCAAATCACATGAGCACGTAGCATCTCGAATTTCCGTCTGAACACTGTCACATTTACTTTTAGAATCAGTTCGAAATTATACAAGAGACTGCCCCCACAACCTCGTTCCATTTTCGAACATCATCGAAATTTAGATTTACAAAATCAATCTTTTTTTTTTCCCTGTTAAATTGTTTTTTCTGGATAGAACTCCTGATTCCCCATATCGCATTCAACAATCTCATTCTCCCAAATTCCCAGACTCTACTTCCGACCCAATAACATGCCTTCCTTCCGCATGGGTATGTCCCCAGCCATGTCACTACCCCCGTCATCGCCGTCGGTGGTTGCTCCGTCGCCGCCCTCATCCATCGACTTGCCGGTGCGGCCCGTTCCCGGAAGTTATGGCTGGCCGCTGCTCGGCCCTTTCAGCGACCGTTTAGACTACTTCTGGTTCCAGAAGCCGGAAGCCTTCTTCAGGAAGCGGATCGAAAAGTACAAGAGCACCGTGTTCCGTACCAATGTCCCTCCCTCCTTCCCTTTCTTTACCAACGTCAACCCAAGCGTCGTCGCTTTGCTCGACTGCAAATCCTTCGCTCATCTCTTCGACGTGGACCTGATTGACAAGAAGAACGTCCTCATCGGAGATTTCATGCCCAGCGTCGCTTTCACCGGCAACATGAGGGTCGGCGTTTATCAGGACACTTCTGAGCCTCAACACCCCAGGTTCGTATCATCTTTCTTCCTCCACTGTCCCAATTTTTCGTTCCAAACTACAATTTTCCCTTTTTGGCATGCAACTCGCAGAATTTACTTCAGAGTTCAATCCATTAACTGATCATAAAGGCTTAAATTCCAACGATGTAAAATTTTCTAGTTTAGTAGGCATGATTACTGAAGAGTAAATCCATCACAGTACAGAGCGTGTAGTGCTGGCAAGGATCAGGGGAATCAAAGGAATTATCATGATGTGGAGCTTAGAATGCAGAAAAGGGCAAAATAGGCATAACACTTTGGCCCTAAGAACAGAACAGTAGTCGTTTCGTAAATCCAATGTAATTAATGGATATTTAATGGACGCAGGAAGCTAAACTTGGTACTGCAGAGGGTGAGTTCTAGTAAAGACACTGCTGTGATGGGTGACAACTGACAATAATATGAAATGGAAAGTAGTCACGTGTCAGGTCTGGACCATCGTGTTTGCTTGATGAGGACCACGAAAACAATGATACAAATTATCATCTCCCAGTCTAGCCTAGATTTTATTTTCACAACAAATAAAATTATTTTTTTGAAAAAAGGCCAATGATTTAAAATTTTTAATAAATGAACATCAGTTTAGCGTGTGTCTTACGGTCCACTCTTGTGGGAGCTCGACATTTCCCATTAGCGGAATGACGTGCTCGTAACTTCTGGGAAGTGGAGAAGTTGATAAATATTTGACGGTGATCAAAATTCAGAGAAATCTGGGGTTGTCGTGTGATGGGTAAATGAACTGTTGACCTCCTTGAAAAATTGATCCTACGCGGTTAAGTAAGGTAATTACTCCTCCGGTTTTTAATATAGGACCTAATTTTTGGATTGGTCTTAGTTTTAAATATAAAACCCATTTTTCATATTTATCAATTTTCTCTAAATTACCTCTATGGATACTCCCTCAACTATAATCAAGTAGAAGAAAGAGGAGGTATTAAGTGATTAGTGTTTTAGGAAAAATGTGTCACTTTTCTTATAATTAACTAACTTATTTAACTTTCTTAATCTAATCAAATTAATTAAATGGGTGTTATATTAAAGATCGGAGGAGTAGTATTTACGGACTAAGTTTTACTCCGCAGCCAGCCAATGATATGGTGCCACGTGTGATCTGTGTCTGAGGTGAATTCGTGCAGGTGAAGAAGTTCATCATGGATGTCCTGAAACGGAGCTCCGGCATATGGGCAACCGAACTGGCATCCAATCTTGACGTGATGTGGGATGACATTGAATCAACGGTCTCCAAATCCAGCTCCGCCGGTTACATCTTCCCACTTCAGCGGTGCCTCTTCGCTTTCCTCTGCAAAGTGCTCGCCGGCGCCGATGCTTCATGCGACCCCGATATCGCCAAGTCCGGTCACGCAATGCTCGACCGGTGGCTCGCCCTCCAGATCCTCCCCACCGTCCCTATCGGCGTTCTTCAACCTTTAGAAGAGATTTTCCTCCACTCTTTTGCCTATCCTTTCTTCCTTGTTAGCGGGGACTACAATAAACTCTACCAATTCATCAAAAAAGAAGGTAACTTCGCATCAAATATCCAGAACACCATTTTCAACTTGATTTCTGAGCCAAACGAAAGCATGCTTTGATTGATTGTCCTATGCTGATGGTGTGTTTATGGAACACGAGAAACAGGTAAAGAAGTGATCACAAGGGGTGAGACTGAGTTCGGGTTGAGTCAAGACGAAGTGATTCACAACTTGCTGTTCGTGCTGGGTTTCAATGCGTTTGGTGGGTTTTCGGTTTTCCTACCCGGTTTGATAGACACAATAGCAAGTGACGAAACCGGGTTAGAGGAGAAGCTGAGGACCGAAGCGAGGGAGAAGGGCGGGCCCACCCTGAGCCTCGACTCGGTCAAAGAGATGCATCTCATTCAATCCGTAGTGTACGAAACTCTCCGGCTAAACCCGCCCGTTCCGCTTCAATACGGCCGAGCCAGGAAGGATTTCCGGCTGTGCTCGCATGACTCGGCGTTTGAGATCAAGAAGGGCGAGCTGCTCTGTGGGTACCAGAAGCTGGTTATGCGGGACCCGGTTGTGTTCGATGACCCGGAGAGCTTCAGACCGGACCGGTTCACAGGAGGGGGCGTGCAGTTGTTAGACTACTTGTATTGGTCGAACGGGCCTCAATCCGGGTCGCCCAGCGAGTCCAACAAACAGTGTGCCGGTAAAGATGTGGTCACCCTCACTGCGTCCTTCATTGTGGCCCACATGTTTCGCAGATACGATTCCATAAAGGGGAATGCAACTTCAATCACGGCCGTCCAGAAGGCCAAATGATGAAGGGTCAGGATTTGTTGGTTTGGGGTTAGTGTGATGACGTCCGAGATGCTGATGGTCAAGAGATCAGGCGCTGGCTGCTTGTTCTCAATTATAGCGGTTACTGCGAATTTTACAAGCATATGTATTCTTTATAATGGTTGCATTGGCTATACTTGCAATATCAGATTATTATAAATGAGGTGAAATATCATTAAAGGCCTTTGATAGAAGGCATCCTTTTATGGAAAGACGGTTGCTCGAGCTCCAGCCCTGTATATTACCCGCTTAATAAGAAATAAAGTTTCTGAGTATTTCTTTTCCCTCTAAAAATGGACGAGTATAATGTAATACTCCTCCGGTCTTTAATATAAGGTCCAATTCTTGAGTTAGTTTTGATCCTAAATATAAGATTCATTCCTCATATTTATCAATTTTTTCTAAATTACCCCTATGGATACTCCTTCAACCATAATTAAATATAAGAGAAAGGAAGGGTATTAAGAAAGATAACTATGGTATTTTAGGAAAAATATATTACTTTTCTTATAATTAACTAACTTACCTAACTTCCTTAATCTAATCAAATTAGTTAAATTGATCTTATATTAAGGACAGGAAGAGTACATATTTGACAAGGGATTGAGTGATTAATACGAACGAGAGATTTGAGGCTTGGAAGACAAAATAATATTGCAGTTTCAAAACCAGCTTCAATTTCCTATTCTTGAATGAATGAGTACACGGTTATTTACTTATTTGAACCAGTAGCCAATAAAGGGGACTTCAGAAATAAAAAAGAAGTTATAATAACTTATAAGTATACTTACGACGTAGTACCCTTTCATCCCACCTTTTTAACAATTTCCAGCTCACAACATCCAGAGGAGCAGAAGTAACCGAAAAACATCAGCACAAGCTTCTCACACTTGACATTTACGAGGAGCTTGCTTGTATATGGAATCTATCAAGACTTGTAACTAATCTCGTAGCGGAAAAGCTAGTATGCAACAATCATTCCATTGAAGACCATGTAATGTTTCTAAGCAGTCTGTACTTTTCCCTGAGACTGGTCGTTAGACTTGGAGATCCCTTCTTTCCATCCCTTCTGACGAGCCCTCAGTTCCCACAACACTGTCAACTTCTTTTGTGCCGCTAATGCTGCCTCAGCTTTCTCCCTGGCATCCTCGCATGTCTCCATCCCTGAATTACACTTGTCTGCTTCTTTTTGATATTGAGATGTAATTTTCTTAGCCTCAAGCAGAGCCATGTCAGCACGTCGGTGACTTTCCAGAGCTTCAGTTTCTCGTAATTTTAGCTCTTCTGACAATAACTCCGCAAAGTTCTTTTCCGTGTCTCCACTCACCTCTGGATCATGCTTTGCACAATCTGAACATTTCCAATCACGCAAAAACAGGAAACAGTACTTGGTAAAGGGAGTTGGATCAAGAGAATACCAATAAAGCCAAAATGAGAAATGCTCGATCTTTTGTGTCAAATTTCAGGAGACTGTAATCAGTAAATTTCTAAAGTCTAAAATTTCTGTATATTATGTGCATTAGGACAAACTCACTGTGAAGCAATGTGTAATCTGAGCAAGTCTAATTCAACTTCTAAATGATACAGAAATCCTTGCTGGTCTGATACCTTCATTCCCCCCCCCCCCACATTAGATGATTTACGTCTCACAGAGAAACTTTTGGGTCAGTCGTTTAGCACCAAAATATTGTTTAGCTTGTTACATGAGTACCTGATTGACAGACAGAGCTACTGGGCTACAGGCACTGTGTGATCAACAAATGAAGCATGATTATTTGTAGCTATGTTTTAAAAGGAAAACCATCAGTAAAAATGGGAGATTTATGATCCTAAAAGATGGTCCAAGCCCAGCTGGAGAAGAACTAGCACACCATCTTACACCATAAAGTTAGAGGAACTATGTTACTTGTGCTCCTTCCATCATGCATGGGTGAGTCAAACAGAAAAGTTTCAACAGTACCGATTGAGTTGTTTATGCACATTGTACACTGTATCAGTTTGAGAAACTTAAGTGGAGTTTATAAAGGAAAAGAAACCAACCTCCAAATGAAGCATTGCTAAGCCCTGCACAATTAACAGACAACGAGAAAGAAATAAGTACAAGTTCAATTAGCAGCATTACAGCATACCACAACTTGCATTAATAGCCAAAAAAAAAAAAGGAAGCTATAATTTAAGGTGTCATTGATTTGCAATTATAATTATTGAGAAGCAACGAATCAGAAATGAAAATTGATAGGTCAGGGATTTTAGGTTAATATTTCAAAGTAATCACAATTGGGAAAGTAACTGGTTGGTAATCGTTTTGGACACAAAAATGTTTCTCGGCACTTCATTAAGTATTTTCTCTTTCATTAATATCATAGTTCTAAGCTATGCCAACCAGTCTCCTCAAACTATTCGCGTGAAGTATGAAACTTTGAACAGATCAAATCTCACTGAAAAAGGCCGTATTTTTCTGATCCGTATAACATAGAGAAGCGAGCAGTTAGCAAAGTCATCAGCATACTCTTCAAATACTAAATAGATTCTTCTGGATACAGCCTTACTTTTTGGCCCAAAAAAAAAAAAGACACCAGCCTTACACTCTTGCATGATGACACATGATTGAAACCGTTGCGCACTTGACAGCTTTTCGCTTAACTCATAAATTCTTTAAGTGCTGGATATTGCATATTCAAACGGGGATGTTAAATTACAGTGGCTACATTGCCGATTATGCATGACTAAGCTTGCAGAAGACAAGGGTACATATAACAGATTTTCCCCCACGATTACTCATACTCTGTCAAGGATTACATGACGGGACCCGTGGCGCAGTGGGGATGAGCATTAGGTTATCACTTAAAGAAGTGAGACAGACGGCATTAGACAGCATAAGTTTAAGCTAAAGAGAGGCACGATAGTTCGGAAGACCCAAAAATGATTATTTCAATTGTAGTCCCAAAGTGAAAGTTTAAACTGGTCGTGCAACTAGATCTGCCCAAGTCAAAGGAATCTCGATCAATTGAAGCACGCATCCAAATAAGGAGACTTTATGCCCATAATTATATAGAAGTCCCTTAACGCTAGATCTCATAAATTTTATTTTTTAACACTCCTGAATTCGATCAAAACAGCACAGAATTGAATTACCAATGTGTGCCCTAATGTATGACTGAGATCTTCAATCTGCCCCATGATGGTTTATCCAGCAGACAAGAAAGTTACGAGAGCATATACATAATCAGGAAACGTAACTTTATGTAAACTCAAACTGTCGAGAGATAGTTAACAAGGCTAGGATTCAAAATTAACTCCAGCAAGACACAGAACCCCATATCGACAAGAGATCTGACCAGATCCAGAACCAAGAAAGCAAGGATAATATACCATGGAATAAAATTACCTTGGGGTATGGAGAGGGCGGGTTCAGAGGAGCAATCGCAGACGCAGGGCGCACAAGTGGAAGAGGAGTGCTTCAGTGCAGCAACACCTTCCATGAAATGCCAGTACAGAGGAGGACCCAGAATGTAGCCGGCGATGCAAAGCGCCACCACCCCTAAACCCATCTTCAACAGAACTGGACTACAAGATACCCGTGATTGATTCATAGCCATCTATCTGATTCACACACTCCCCTCCTCTTTGAGATGGGAAAAAAATACAAAGAAGAAAATAATAGTTCGGAGTGTGAAAATTGAACTGAAATCGATGCTATTGCAGGGAGCCGCGTGCAGTTTTCACCACCCCAGAAGCTACTTGCCTCCCCTTCGTTTGCTTCCCCCACGATCTCCCTCAATTTATGTCCATCTCTGACTCTAGCCCACTAGTTAATCTATTATTTATTTATACGAAGAGAGACACGCAGTGGAATTGACCCCGTCTCCGACTTGGGTCTCACTTTCCAGCCAACAATTTCAATCTCTGTTACAAATGCAATTAATACGGTGACTTTTATATTTATCTCGTACGTCATAGTTCATCATGACTTCGTTGACTAAACTAATTGATAGGTAATTATCCGTAAATTTTATTCTATAATTTCCTGAGATTTATCAACAATTCATGATAAAAAAAAATTTGCGTAAATCAACAATGAAGGAAACAATTGTAATACTTTAAAAAGAAAAAAAAAATAAAGACAACTAATCTTGAATTCGCTGTTGACGTAGCGGTTTTTTTTAATAAATACTTTGCATTGGAACCTTTTTTCCAAATTCTACCCATATCTATGAGCATTTGAATATTAAGCTTTGGTATAGGTTAAAAATATGCGCTCTCATGAGTTTCTTTAGTAGCGACAAATGATTCAAGACAATGAGAGAGTAATAGCAGGAAAATGTCATCTTTTTAAACAGGTCTTATTATTCTTATTTATCGAACTCACAAGACCCACATTAGTTTCATGAGCTAAGCATATCAAGCATAGTGACGGTAGGAGAGAGATCACAGGAAAAGATCACACTTCCATAGAAAATATACTGCTAAGCTAGTTTGAATTTTATTTTTATTCTAAATATAAAATCTCAATCTATTTTGTCTCTTATATTTTCTATTTTTTTATAGTAATCCTTATAATAATAATAGTTTTAATTAATACACTTTATTAATAAAAATATTTTAATAAAGATAACATCTATTTATTATAAGTAACTAACTTAATTAATCTTTTTAATCTATTCAAATTAGTCAACTAATTTTTAATTACCAGGTAGTATATATCTATTGATTTGAATTAAAAGATGCAACATATTGCTGACCGAGAGACAATGTCATTTGTGTTAGTTTTGATTTTGGGACATAATGTTATGATTTTTTACCTTTTTCTAACTGGATGCTGAATCACACACACACACTCGTTGACGCAAACTTTGAAAAACAAAAATACGCATTGGGCAAATATTGCATGAATTTTCCCGAGTTATTTATAATACATTAAGAATTGTCTCCCCATCCCCCCGGGACACGTTCGGGTATAGTGATTTCAAAACACTTGATATGCAATGAGGAAGCAGGATAGAAGAGAACGTTAATGGAGCAGGACATCAAGTGATGGTGGCAATGCTAGTTCTAGAACAGTGCACGAAGAGAAAAGCCAGAACTGCTGACTTGAAAATCGTCGACATGGGAATCCCATATTGTGCCCTCCCAAACAGCCCTTTCAAGAAAGGCCACAAGCAAACCACCAAGTACACACTGCATAACGCCTCCCCAACCCCACTCCCACTCCCACCCCCGCTCCCGCTCTTCTCTGCTGCTGGACCCAGCCTCCATAATTTCATCACCAGACCACTGAGTTGAACCACTAACATAGTGGTTCCTGGAACAAACATTGCAGACTCGTCAAAGATGAATCTTCCAGCGTTTGTATCAGAACCAGAACAAGCTGGTGCCTCCTTCTGTGTTATATCAAACACTGTTTCAGAAGCCCTCAACATCTCAACTATAGCACTTAGAGAACCCACAAACCAAGGACCCAAGGCCATTATTCTTCTCATTCTCTGATTGTTCCACCATGCTCGGACTGATAACCCGATTGCCAAGTATTCTATTAGACTGTAGATGTTGTATATCACGAAAACTGACACAAAAATCCATAGCCAAGGTTCCTGAAAATTCCATATGAATCTCCTTAATTATTCCTTGAAATTGAGGGATACTGAAATGTTTGGTAGTTAGTGTTGAAAAACTGACCTTGGGTAAGAAAGTGGAGTTGGTTATCAGGCAATATGCAGGCAAAGCAGCATAGGTTGTTTCAGGGAAGGCATATAAGCCCCAGTGGATGAGCCATAGATAGGCCAGACACTGTCTGAAATGCAGCTCACCGAAGAGGAAGCCCAAATAGGGGCTTTGGGGACCCAACAAGACTCTAAGCAGGCCAGAAGCCCATCTCTTTTGTTGGATCATTGCGGATGTAAAACCTCCAGGGGCCCGGCCTATGAAAGCAATTGGGTCGGGCGTGCAACACTCTGACCTCCAACCTCTACTATGAATGCTCAATCCAAGTTGTTGATCCTCGGCCACTGATCCATATAGCCATCCAACCTAAACTTCCATATAATAATTTAATAAAAATAGTAATAAACCAAGATAGCGTATATGATTATGCCGAGATGGAAAGCTTCTTAAGTAGGCTAGCTTTGATGTGAAATTGATTGAATTGATGCTGACCTGTTCCCCCCAGGCTGCGCCATATTCATATTCACAACTAGAAACATAAATAGCAGCCTCCAAGCACGTAGAAGGAGAAATAATATTACTGCTACTAAAATGTGTCTTGTCTTTCCAGGCTTGAGCTGCTAGTTTAATAAATTCAGTCGAAGTTCCAAATTTTGGTTCCAGTTCCTCGTCTGACAATTCCTCTACAAAAGATGCCAAATGATAAGCATTATGAAGTTTCTTGGTTAGAAGCCTGTAGGGAACAAATAATTACGATCTTCTGCAAACCTGATGAAGATATATAGTGAATCTGTAAGTGGTGTGTGTGTGTGTGTGTGTGTACAAGAGTTCAAATCAGACCTTGATTTTCATGCGGAGTGTGATCAGGGTAACGCCCGTAAATAACTTTTCTTCTATGGAAGCATCCGCTTCCGCAGTAAAAGGGTCCCTGAAGGCCTGCATATCCAACTAATATGTACTGCACTTCACAAAACAAGAAACAATACAGGTCCACTTAAAATAACTTATAAGCAGTTTTTCAATTATGATTTATGAAATATAGGATAAATATGTGAGATAAGTTTTATCTTGGCTTACATGCTTATATGAAACGTGCTCATATAATTGCCAACCCAAAGGAGCCCTAAGCTTTCTATAAGCCTCTTCAGTTCTTAAACTTGCTCATTTTAACCGGCAATAGTGCATGCCTCTAAAAAGACAGAAATTAAGGGGGGTTTGTTTCTTTAATGAAAGAGTGCAGTTGAATTTAAACTCACCGAAGAAGCGGCAGCCCACTGGTTTCCAAAAGGATCATCTTTTAAGCCATCATCAAATTGCTGAAAACATTGGACAAATGCGACTTCTTTGTGGCCCTTGGGATCCAAGAATATGCACATGGCGTGCTGAACAATCTGTGGATTGTTCACCATCATGTCACAGTCTACGTTCAGCATGTAGGGAGCATTGCTTATCAACCCTGACACTCTCGTCTACACATTATAATAGTTTATCATCAGGAGAAACCCAAGTTTGAGGATGTTTTATAAGACAAAACAAAAAGGCCGAGGTATTAAAAGACCAAAGAAAAGATGTTACCAAAACATTCAAGGCACCAGCTTTGTGATGATGAGGATGCTGTGGTCTCTTCTCTCTTGATACGTAGATTAAGCTGGGCAATCCATCAGATTGGCCTTCCCTTCTCTCCCATATAACCTACCGATCGATTCATAAATTAAAATGGAAAGAGCAGAGAAAATGATTCATGTATATTAGATGCTTTACTCGATGATACAAGTTTAGATACTTTAATTATGGCTCCGTGATTTCTCCGCTCTGCGTTCATGAAAGCTGCATACTCTCCCTCAAACTTAATCTGCTCTGGTTTCCTGCTCACATCTTCAATTTTACGGCTTAGTTTTTCATACTCTTTCTGCAAAACCGAACACAAGAAACCATTATTCAATACTTTTCCAACACTTAATTGACTCAAATTATGGGATTGTTCAAGTACGATCGATCATCAGTAAGCAATTCTGTGCAATCATACAGAGAGAGTGATAGAGACCTGATGTTCACCGCCCTGTGTTTCTGTTTAACATCATTTTAGCACCCTACCTTCATTTGTAAAAAATCTTGTGTGAATTCTGGAGAGTGTTGCTGGCTATTGGCACCAGTGGGCTCATCAGAAAAGAACTTAAGAGGAGCCCTGAGTTGGACATTGTATTTCTTACAGAAAGGTACCCACAGCTTAGCAAATCGGGCGGCTTCGGCAAGTGCAAAGAATGTAACAGGGGAACACCCATCATCGGAAACGTAACAAGCTAGCTTGTGAGATGGGTAATCAAGTGCCAACAGAGACAACACTGTGTTCGCCGTGATGATGGGTGGCTCCAGCACTGGGTCCGCCGTTGTAGCCAACAGGTCCACCGCCGGCAGATCCTCCCTGGGTACGCTATTCACAGGAGAAGAACTTGACAAATAAGAAAACAAGAATCAGCTAAATGAAGTGAGCGAGCTAATCCATGTATACCGTTGAGAGAGGGAGTGGAGGAACGTATTGACGCGTGCAGGAGTCCATTTGGTGCTCAGGATAATAAACCAGGTGAAGGTGAACCATGATTCGCATAGGAAGGCGAGAAAGCAAGGGGGAGTGAAGTAGGTGGAGAAGGCGATAAGCCTGTGAGCAAGAAGCAAGAGAAGGAGAAGGAAGATGAAGCTATCCATAACTCTCTGAAACCTGCGTTTCAGCCAAATCTTTTCATACAGTTGGACGTCTTCCATTGAATCTTATTCTGCAATGGTTTCGCAAATCTTACAATTGTCGTATGCCCAAATGGGTATACTCGCAGCTCACTAATGGAGAGTAGACAGAAATCAGAGTAGTGAAATTTGCCAAATTTCAAGTTAAAATGGGGAAGTCTGGAAGACGCTTCGGTATCTAATTCCGGGTCGGAATTTGGTTACATGATAAGGCATAAAAGAGGTTTACTGTTTGCGAAATTTGAGGTAAATTGTGGTAGTATATTTTTAATTGTACCATTTATTTTATAGACATTGGAATATTTTATTCCTTCGTCAACTTTCTGTCACGCGTCTTTATCAATAAAAAAGCAGACAAATGTATTTAAGTATTCAAAGATAATACTCAGGCGATTACAATGTGCTATTGCCCGGAGAAAAAGACAGATAATAAGGAAAATAAAGCTTTCATCCATAGAATAAAAAGAATTGAATATCAATCCTCTTTTGAGTAATCCATTCCATCTTGAATGTTTTTGAATCAGCAGTAACTGTAACATTAAGAGAAGGTTTCAAAGTCTTAGTGATTAACAGAAGATAATAGCAGCCAGAGTTGATAATACAAGAACTTTTCTGGGACTCATTCACAAGGAATTCATTGGTGATTTCCAAATCATTAACACTTAGCTGTTTTAGAGGATCCGGTGTATCAAAATAGAATCTGACCACGATCCATGAATGAGTGTTTAGTGACAATCTTTTCAGTGATCCTAGATCTGATATTCAAAGTTAAGAGTCATAACGTGGCTCGTTGTCCCTTGAGGATCATCATCTTCTTGGAATAAAGATTCAAAATCAGTTTCTTTATCTTTAAAGAAAGGAAGAACATATTGTGTTTTTTTATCCTGAGTATCTTGTTCTTCGATGACAGATTCAATATTTTCATCTCCATTGATCATTAAAACAATCTGGAAGTGTTAGAAAAGGTTAGTCATTGACTATAAACCTCTCAATATTTTCCTCCAAGACGACAAATTCCTTTTATCAAAGCCGAGTTCACTTACAGTTCATCTTAGACATGCAAAAATCTTTTCCAAGTTTGATCTTAAAGCTGGTTTTTGGCAATTGGGTATCCACTCAGAAGATCAACCCACAAAGCATTACTATAGAAAGTATAGGTAATATCAACTAGAGCAACTTTAGCAGTGGGTGGAAATCCTTTTCTCCCATGGAGTGTAATAATAAGGTATACAGCACCTATATAGAGATGGGTATAACCTTGAGCTATCCATTCATTAATCAAAGGTTGAAGTATGTCAATAGTGACATAATGTTCAGAGGAAGAGGCAGGAAGACCACAGTTTTGGGGAGCTATCCTTATTGAAGAAATAAATGGAAAGAGATTCTACTGTGGATATGCAAGCAGACAATTCAAGGAGCTAGAAAAGCATTATCATGCTAACTACAAGGAGATCCTTGCTAACCAGATTCTACAGTTGAAAATCTTTTTGATGAAGAACCATTTGTCCTTCATACGTCTAAGCCTAGAAGGACAGACTACAAACCTACTATGGGTCCATGGTTCACTTTTGATGACCTTCCTCCAGAATAATAGAGAGACAGACTTCATGAATTTGACGCATGGATTGACTTGCAGCTTGCTAGGTATGATACAAATCTTGAGAGTCATCACTGGCATTAGTCTGGAGGATCCGTAGTCCTTTGTCAGGGATCTTTAAAGAAAGTGGTTGCTGTGCAATTCTTTTGAGAGTTTTGACAGCTGAGATCTGCTCTGTCCCCCACTGAGAAGTTTGGATAGCTTGCTGGTGTGATTAGACATATGAGGGATAAAATCCCTAAGATAATTAATAATCCCTAAAAATTGTTGAATAGTCCTTACCACCATACTAATCGTGTCACTAAAAACGTTAGAAGTCTGATCTCCACCCAAAGACCTCATGTCAAAGAAATTGTTCAGTCTACTAATTTAGAAAACTGTGGTCCTCCTACCTCTTCCTCTAAACAATATATCATTATTGACATACTTCAACATTTGATTAATGAATGGATAGCTTAAGGTTATACTGGGGGGCAATAAAATACACTTAAAAATTAAAACAGTCACAACCCAAAAAAAAGGACAAATTTTCAGAAAATTTCAATCATTAAAATCTCATTTCATAAATTGAATAAAATGACCATATTGCCTCTCTTTGAGGGCAAGAAAAAAAAAACAGCCTCGCCCGTCAGCAGGGGCTGCCACCAATGGCGGCTAGGCAATTTGCGACAGAGGTCAATAAATGCAGGCTTTGATCCCATCATTTTAGTTTCTAAAAAATATATAACCTCACCAAAATATATACTCCTCCGGTCTTAAATATAAGACCTTTAGTATAATGGTCTTATATTTAAGACCAGAGGAGTATAAAACTATTAAGTCGCTAAAATTTTTCAATAAAATAGCACAAAATAGTATAAAAGATAATTGCAAACTTTGACCATAACCATAGGTTAGGTATGAAGCACAATATAATAGCTACTGAGCATAACATATTAAGTTATTAACACTTATTAATTACTATAATTATAAAAGTTAGTTGATTAATTTGAGAAAATTAAGAAAATAAGTTAAGTTAGTTATTTGTAATAAATAGGTGTTATCTTTCCTCAAATATCCTTGCTAATCCAGTATATTGGCTAGAACTGTCATTATTAAAAGGATTACTTTAGAAAAAATGTATAAATATTAGAGATAAAGTAGATTAAGATCTTATATTTCTGACCAAAATAATCGTTAAAGGAAAATTTTTGCCAATAAGATATTTTCAATAAAATTTATTAAAAAGACATTTTTAAAAAAATAACGCAAATTTTTTTATAGATAACTAGTTTAAATAATTTTTTAGATTTTGATGAACTTGTAATAAAATTTTAAACCTATTGGTAAAAAGAGCAACTAATGGGGGGGTTGTGATATGGTCAATAGCTATTGGATTGAAAAATATCTTATTGACAAAAATTTTCCTTTAATATGTGTCATAATAAGGATAGTTCAAGAAAAAAAAAATATAAACTTAAAAGAAAAGGTATGTTAAAATTTTATGCTTAGTACTAGAGGGAATGCGTACAAATATCTTGGGATCACGGGACAGTGCCGCTTTCTAGCCAAAAAGACGAAGCAAATCTGAATATTTTAAATTTTCCTTCTCAGTGCTTCTTACCATGTCATTATATATATTTTTTTTCTTTGTTGTGTGAAAACGGTGTGATCATTTTATTAACTAGTCATTCTATCTAACATATGCAGCAAGTGTGCTTAGTCTTCGATTAGCAATAAGCATTTCCATGTAAATGTTGTGCGATCAATAGACTTAGGATTACATTATATATTTTCCGGGATTGGATCCAAGAACCAACTCTTTTTTCTGTCATTATTATGAACCTCATCAAATTTACATCATATCTACATATGACACAAATTTATTAGTTGAATTAGGAGTATTTACTATTTACATAAATGCAAATTTATAACTGACGAGATATTTAATACTATTAGCTAAAGTATACATCTGGTCCTTTAACTTTGTACAATGTTTCAATTTGATCCATTAACTTTAAAAAACATATATTTAGTCCTTTAACCCTAAAATCATTAGGTTTTAATGATGATTTTTGGTAACAATCATGGATGTTTTGAAAATTAAACTTAATATGTTAGTATTTAAGAATATTTTATCAACATTTAAGATTTTAATATTATCATTTTTTGGGAAAAAAATTTTAGAGTTAAAAAACTAATAATTTAATTTCTAGCCTGATTATTCAATTAAAAATCAGCTGATTCAATATATTAAATTTAAATTTATCAAAATTAATTTGATCTTTCAAAATCATAAATTCTTATTGTTTTCAGAATCATTGTTAATCCGAATTCCGAACGAATCCTTGGTTAAGACATTTTCTATTTAAACGACTCGCCATTTCCATCTCTTGATATCTTTTGGGGTTATGCCTAGAAGCTCCCACCCCCAGTGGCTGGCCATCGATTGCCCCCATTCAAAATCCTGCACCCTGTGATTCTGTCCCCCACCGTATCAATCTTCATTACCAAACATACTCATTAAGATCCATAATGATTAAAATTCTATTACGTAGCATTGCCTTACATTGCACAGCAGATGAGATCCAAAATCGAGTGAAAAGGAGCTTTAGCTTTTATGAAGTAAAGTAAAATATACTGCTGAAAAAATGAAAGTGAAGAGATGAGAGAAGAGATTGAGATGAATAAGAGGGATCAGCAACACATAAAGTAGTGATGATAGAAGTACAAAGGACCACAAAGAACACGGCCAGAGTTGCAGACATTAAAACCCTTGATCATGGCATTCCATATTCTCTCTTTTCAGAAAAGGCCAATAACACACCACCATGCACGAACGACAAAACAACTCTCTCCATTTCCATTTCACTTTCTTCGCTGCTTCCAATAACAAGAAGGAAGTAGAACATAAACAAGAGATTGTCAATGGACCAACATATTAATTGATGGTGGCAGTGACGCTTATAGAACAGTGCACGAAGAGAAAAGCCAGAATAGCTGACTTAAAGATTGTTGACATGGGAATCCCATATTGTGCTTTCCTAAATAGTCCTTTCAAGAAGGGCCACAAGCAAACCACCAAGTACACACTGCACAATACCTCCCCAACCCCACTTCCATTCCCATTCTTCTCTGCCGATGGATCCAACCTCAATAATTTCATCGCCAAAGCAGTGAGTTGAACCAGCAACATAGTGGTTCCTGGCACAAACATTGGAGACTCGTCGAAGATGAACCTTCCTGCGTTTGTATCAGAAGCCGAACAAGTTGGTGGCTCCTTCTGTGTTATGTCAAACACTGTGTTAGAAGCCCCCAACATCTCAACTATGGCACTTAGAGAACCCACAAACCAAGCAGTCATGGCCATTACTCTTCTCATTCTCTGATTGTTCCACCATGTTCGGACTGATAACCCGATTGCCAAGTATTCTATTAGACTGTATACACAGTATATCACGAAAACTGAAACATAAATCCACAACCAAGGTTCCTGAAAATTTAATATGAATCTTCTTAATTATTCCTTGAAATTGAGGGATAAAAAATTGTTTGGCAGTTAGTGTCGAAAAGCTGACCTTGGGTAAGAAAGTGGAGTTGGTTATGAGGCAATACGCAGGCACAGCGGCATAGCATGTTTCAGGGAAAGCGTGGAGGCCCCAGTGGATAAGATATAAATAGCCCAGGCACTGCCTGAGTTGCAGCTTACCGAAGAGGAGGCCCAAATAGGGACTTTGGGGGCCCAAAAAGACTCTAAGCAGGCCGGAAGCCCATCTCTTTTGTTGTACCATTGAGGATATGAGATCTCCAGGGGCACAACCTGTGAAAGCAATAGGCTCAGGTGTGCAGCACTCTGACCTCCAACCTCTTCTATGGATGCTCAATCCAGTTTGTTGATCCTCTGCCAATGACCCATATAACCATCCCACCTGAACTTCCAAATAATTAAGTCATAATGCAGAGTATGATTCTTCTGAGACGATAGTTGTGTGATTCTCAGAAGAAAATTTCAACCTTTTTCTTTGTGTTGAGAGCTTCTTATGTAGCAATTGAAATTAAGTTAATTGGCATATTTATAATATGCTTTAATTGATGAATTTGATACTGACCTGTTTACCCCAAGCAGTGCCATATTCATATTCACAACTAGAAACTTGGATTGCAGCCTCTAGAGACGTGGAAGGAGTAATAACATTACTACAACTAGAACATGGGTTGTCTTCCCAGGCTTGGGCTGCTAATTTAAAAAATTCCTTCGAGCTTCCGAACTTCTGTTCCAGTTTCTTGTCTGACAATTTTGCTGCAAAAGATGTAAAATGATAACATGTCCGAGATTCTTAGACAGATGCCTATAAAAATTATTCCCTCTAATTCTTAATATAAAAACTTGTTTGACTTTTATTTTAGTTCTAAATATAAGATCCTAATTTATTTTGTCTCTCATATTTATCTTTTCTTTAAGGTAGTTCTTATAATAATAGTAGTTCTAACCAATACACTTAATTAGTAAGAATATTTTAGAAAAGATAATACCTATTTGTTAGAAATAATTAACTTAATTAGTTTTTTATTCTACTCAAATTAGTAAATTAGCTTGTATGTTAAAGATAAGATGTAGCAATTAATTAATCACGACTATCATGCATGTACTAGAGTTCAAATAATTAATGACCTTGATTTTGAAGCTGCGTGTTATCAGGGTAACGGCCGTAAATAACTTTTCTTCTGTGGAAGCAATTGGTTCCACAGTAAAAGGGTCCTTGAAGCCCTGCAAGTCCAACTAGTACGTACTGCATTTCACAAGGACAAGGAAGAAAATTAATACGCGTTGCATGGCTGTGAATTAACAGAGAATCGATGATGTCCTTTTGCTTTTGAAAAGTGAATATGAATTTAAACGCACCGAAGAAGCAGCGACCAACTGGTTTCCAAAGGGATCATCTTTTAGGCCATCGTAAAATTGCTGAAAGCACTGAACAAATGCGACTTCTTCGTGGCCCTTGGGATCCAGAAATATGCACATGGCATGCTGAGCAATCTTTGGATTGCTCACCATCATGTCACAGTCTATGTTTAACATGTAGGGAGCGTTGCTCATCAACCCTGACACTCTGGTCTACACATGATAATCATCATATCACACTTTTTTATAGTAGGAGAAATGAAAATTTGAGGGTGTTTGCGAATATGTCATTTTATAAGAGAGAATAAAGATGCCAACGTATTAAAAGAAGAAAACAAGGTGTTACCAAAACATTCATGGCACCAGCTTTGTGGTGATGAGGATGCTGTGGTCTCTTCTCTCTTGATACGTAGATTAAGTGGGGCAATCCACCAGATTGGCCTTCCTTGTTCTCCCAAATAATAACCTGGTCCTCATGAACCATAATTTAATTAATCAATGGCAGAGAACTAACATCGATTCACGCACGCATGCCATTAAATTTACTCCCAAGTACGGACCGTTCTGAACCATAACTTAATTGATCATCTGATAGAGAACACTATTTGATTTTGTTTTATTCGAGAATGTGCCATTGTCCTTCATTTGTCATTGAGAACAAATAACAGGAAATTTGTGTTATGCCATATGTATGACTCAGGCCCCCCACTAATAGCATGTTCCTTTTCAAGAATTGTCTGTCACATATGAGCATCATCAGACAATCGAAACAGCTCGACAATGATATACTAGAAGGTTAAGATACCTTAATTATGGCTTGGTGATTTCTCCGCTCTGCATTCCTGAAAGCTGCAAACTCTCCCTCAAGCTTAATCTGCTCTGGTTTCCTGCTCACATCTTCAATTTTACGGCTTAGTTTTTCATACTCTTCCTACAAAACCCGACACACAAAGTCACTATTATCATTTTTCTGACAATTGACCACGAAATAACCATTTCAACACTTTACCTTCATCAGTAGGGAGTCTTGTGTGAATTCTTGGGAATGTCGTCTTTGGGCACCGTTAGGCTCAGCAGAAAAGAACCTATGAGGAGCTCTGTGTTGGACGTTGTATTTCTTACAGAAAGGTACCCACAGCTTAGCAAATCGAGAGGCTTCGACGAGGGCATAGAAGTTAACAGGGGAACACCCATCATCGGAAACGTAACAAGCTAGCTTGTGAGGTGGGTAATCCAGAGCTAACAGAGATAGCACAGTGTTCACGGTGATGATGGGTGGTTCCAGCACTGGGTCCGCCGTCGTCACCAGCAGGTCCACCGCCGGCAGCTCGACCTTTGGTACCCTATTCAAAAGAGTAGAACTTGACAAATAAGGAAACAAGAATCAGTTCAGTGAAGTAAGTGGGGTCATTTGTACAGCTACCGTTGAGAGAGAGAATGGAGGAAGGTGTCGATGCGTGCAGCTGCCCATTTGGTGCTGAGGATAATAAACCAGTTGAAGGCAAACCATGATTCGCATAAGAAGGCGAGAAAGCGGGGGACAGTGAAGTGGGTGGAGAGGGTGATAAGCCTGTGACCAAGAAGCGAGAGAAGGAGAAAGAAGATGAAGCTGTCCATAACTCTCTGAAACCTGCGTTTCAGCCAAATTTTTTCATACAGTTGGACGTCCTCCATTGAATCTTTTGCTGCAATGGTTTTGCACGTTCACCAAATCCTGCAATTGCTAGATTCCCACGGGTTTGGGAGTTCTCGAAATGCGTTTATGGACACAGACGAATCACTGTCGTACTATTTGCCTAACGTCAAGTTGGGTGATGGAAGACGTCTCAGCATCTAACTTCATTCATTACAGCATTTAACTTCATTCATTATAAGGTTATAAAAATCTTCTTATTTTAGATGCAACACTAGAATATGAGCTTTGTTTTGTACAGCATTTTTAGTATAATACAATGATTTTTTTTATAGATTTTATATGATATATAAATTTTTTTTGGTTTCATGTACAACATGTGAGCTAGGCAGATGCATGTGATTGGATCCTGTTTTGGTGTGTAGAGCAATTTGAATTTGGACCATACAAATTTAATATTTTTAATTAATTATTTTTAAATAAAAATATTTTAAAAAAATAATAATTAAGAGATTATCTTTTAGATTTTATACTCATTGAAATAGTTCTTAAAAAAAAAAAGGTACAGATCTGATAAGTCCCATGTGGTTTTAGGGCGCAGCCTCTCTCCTCTGCCCCTTTGCTAGCCCATTCCTCTTATTAAAATGTTACACCTGTACCTCAAGGCAAGAGAACAAAATAGGGGGGAAAAAATGAAAAAGGGGCATTCCAATTTGCTAATTTTGATTTTTTTTCTCAATTAAAAGTAGTAGTTCAAAATAATTATGCCTAATGTGAATACTGATTATAAGGTACTACCCCTGATCCCATTACACTACCTTATACAAACTATGGTTCTAAATATAAGAAATTACTTATCCATAATGATTAAAATTGTATCACTGCCTTATATTGGCGAGTCACATACTAAATAAATTCATAATGATTAAAATTGTATCACACTGCACTGTCTTATACTAGCTTCGGTTTAAATATAAGAAATTATATCATAAATTAGATTTTAAATTTAGGACTCAGAATATTATTATTGCCTTGTGTGTGGGATCCAAAACTGACGTGAGGTGAACAGGAGGGGTCACCAAAAAAGCACAATTCCAAATAGTCCTTTCAGAAAAGGCCAATTAAAAGCTTGTCAGTGGACCAAGACATTAATTGGTGGTCACCATGCTAATTCTGGAACAATGCACAAAGAGAAAAGCCAGAACTGCTGACTTGTAAATCGTCGACATGGGAATCCCATAGTGTGCTCTATCAAACAGCCCTTTCAAGAAGGGCCACAAGCAAACCACCAAGTACACACTGCACAATACCTCCCCAACCCCACTCCCATTCCCCCTCTTCTCTGGTGGAGGATCCGACCTCAGTAATTTTGTCACCAAAGCAGTGAGCTGAACCAGTAACATGGTGGTTCCTGGCACGAACACTGCAGACTCGTCAAAGCTGAACCTTCCTGCGTCTGTATCACTATCATCAGAACCAGAAGTTGGTGACTCTTTCTGTGTGACATCAAACACCGTGTTAGAACCCCACAACATCTCAATTATGGCACTTAGAGAACCCAAAAACCAAGCATTCATGGCCATTATTCTTCTCATTCTGTGACTATTCCACCACGTTCGGACTGATAACCCGATTGCCAAGTATTCTATTAGACTATATATACTGTATATCACAAAAACTGAAACAGAAACCCAAAGCCACGGTTCCTGAAAAATCCAAATATGAATCTAAATCAGTTATTCCTTAAAAATGAGATATACAATAATGTTTGGCTGTTAGAGTTGAAAAGCTGACCTTGGGTAAGAAAGTGGAGTTGGTTATGAGGCAATACGCAGGCAGAGCAGCATAGCATATTTCAGGGAAAGCGTGGAGGCCCATGTTGAGGATCCATAAATAGGCCGAGCACTGCCTGAACCGGAGCTTACCAAAGAGGAGACCCAAATAGGGACTTTGGGGGCCCAGCAAGACTCTAAGCAGGCCTGAAGCCCATCTCTTTTGTTGGACCATGGAAGAAATGGAATCTCTAGGGGCACAACCTGTGAAAGGAATAGGCTCAGGTGTGCAGCACTCTGACCTCCAACCCCTTCTATGGATGCTCAATCCGGTTTGTTGATCCTCTGCTGATGACCCATATAACCACCCCACCTAAACTTCCAAATAATTCAATCAAGGCAGAATATATTACTATATATGATTCCTCTAGAATGGATGTTGAAAGCTACTTATGTAGCAATTTGTTATGAAGTCAATTAGGCATATTTATAATATGCTTTAATTGATGAATTTAATTCTAACCTGTTTACCCCAAGCAGTGCCATATTCATATTCACAACTTGAAACTTGGATTGCAGCCTCCAGAGACGTGGAAGGGGTAATAACATTACTACTACCAGAATACGTGTTGCCTTCCCAAGCTTGGGCTGCTAATTTAACAAATTCCTTCGAACTTCCGAATTTCTGTTCCAGTTCCTTGTCTGACAATTTTTCTGCAAAAAAAAAAAGATGCAAAACAATGGCATTTTAATGTTTCTTTGTTAGACGCTGGTAGGAATTACGGCGACTACTATGATGAATATATGGATCTGTGTACAAATTATATGAAGACTATAGTTCAAATGACGACCTTCATTTTCAAGTTGGATGTCATCAGGGTAACGGCCGTAAATAACTTTTCTTCTATGGAAGCAGTTGGTTCCACCGTAAAAGGGTCCTTGAAGCCCTGCTACACCACCTGCAATGTACTGCACTTCAAAGACAACAAGACAGAAAAATTACTGTTTAATTCATACGCGCTACTTGGTTCTAGATATAGACAGAACTTATGCTTCTTCTTCTTCTTCTTCTTTACGCACCATAAAAGCAGCCACGAACTGGTTTCCGAAGGGATCATCTTTTAAGCCGTCGTGGAACTGCTGAAAACATTGAACAAAGGCAACTTCTTTATGGGCCTTTGGATCCAGAAGAATACACATGGCGTGCTGAACAATCTTTGGGTTGGTCACCATCATGTCACAGTCTAAATTCAGCATGAAGGGAGCGTTGCTCATCAATCCTGACACTCTGGTCTGCACATGATAATCATCACATTACACCTTTTTAGTAGGAGAAATGCAAATTTATTTGAGGGTTTTTATGGATATGTGGTTTTATAAGACAGAATAAAAATGCCACCGTATTAAAAGGAAAGAAAAAGGTATTACCAAAACATTCATCGCACCAGCTTTGTGGTGATGATGGTGCTGTGATCTCTTCTCTCTTGATACGTAGATTAGATTGGGCAAACCATCAGATTGGCCTTCCTTGTTCTCCCAAATAATAACCTGGTACTCATGAAAAACAAGTTCCCGTTGTGAACTAAAATTGGTTCACATATGCATGCCATATATGAAACCTGCTCGGGTACGAACCATTCCAAGGCTCAGTATATTAAAATTAGTCTTTGAGGAAAACACTATTTGATTTAGTTTTATCTGATAAAGTTTCCTTCATTTGCCATTGTGAACACATAACTATACCAACCTCATAAATGACGCTTACATATAACACTAAATTTGTGTGATGCGAAATGTTGGAAGCAGGCCCCCATTAATATCATGTTCCTTATCAAGAATCGTCAGTCACACATGAGCATCACCAAACAACCAGAAGATAACAGCAGCCAGAGTTGATAATACAGGAGCTCTTCTGAAACTCATTCACGAGGAATTCATTGGTGATTTCCAGATCATTGACACTTGCCTCTTTTAGAGGATCCTGTGCATCAGAAATAGAATCTGACCACGATCCACAAAAGAGTATTTAGTAACAATTTTTCCAGTTATCCTAGATCTGGTATTTAAAGCTGAGAGTCATAACGTGGCTTGTTGTCCCTTGAGGATCATCATCTTCTTGGGATAAAGATTCAGAATCAGTTTTTTCATCTTCAGAAAAAGGAAGAACATATTGTGTTTCTTCATCCTGAGTATCTTGTTCTTCGATGACAAATTCAATACCTTTATTTTCATTGATCATTAAAACAATCTGCAAGTATTAGAAAAAGGTTAGTCATTGACTATAAACCTCTTAATATTTTCCTCCAAGATGACAAATTCTTTTTACCAAAGCCCAGTTCACTTACAGTCCATCTTAGACATGCAAAAATCTTTTCCAATTTGGTTCTTAAAGTTGGTTTTTGGCAATTGGGTATCCACCCAGAAGATCGACCCACAAAGCATTATTATAGGAAGTATATGTGGTATCAATTGGAATAACTTTAGCAGTGGCTGGAATTCCTTTTCTCCCATAGAGTGTAAGAATAAGGTGTACAACACCTGTATGGAAATGGGTATAACCTTGAGTTATCCATTTATTAATCAAAGGTTGAAGTATGTCAATAGTGACATAATGTTCAGAGAAAGAGGCAGGAAGACCACAGTTTTGGGGAGCTGTCTTAATTGAAGAAATAAATGGAAAGAGATTCTACTATGGACATGCAAGCGGACAATTCAAAGAGTCAGAAAAGCACTATCATGCTACCTACAAGGAGATCCTTGCTAACCAGATCCTACAGTTGAAGATTCTTTTGATGGATAACCATTTGTCCCTCATACGTCTGAGCCTAGAAGGACAGACTACAAACCTACTACAAGTCCATGGTTCACTTTTGATGACATTCCTCCAGAAAAATTGAGAGACAGATTTCATGAATTTGGCGCATGGATTGACTTGCAGCTTGCCAAGCATGATACAAATCTTGAGAGTCATCACTGGCATTAGTCTGGAGGATCCGTAGTCTTTTGTCAGGGATCTTTAAAGAAGGTGGTTGCTGTGCAATTCTTTTGAGAGTTTTGACAGCTGAGATTTGCTCTGTCCCCCACGCAGGAGGATTCTTTTTTAGAAGTTTGGATAGCTGGCTGGTGTGATTAGACACATGAGGGATAAAATCTCTAAGATAATTAATAATCCCTAAAAATTATTGAATAGCCCTTACCATCGTACTAATCGTGTCAGTAGAAACATTAGAAGTCTGATCTCCACTCGAAGACCCCATGTCAAAGAAATTGTTCGATCCACTAGTTTAGAAAACTGTGGTCTTTCTGCCTCTTCCTCTGAACAATATATCACTATTGATATACTTCAACCTTTGATTAATGAATGGATAGCTTAAGGTTATACCAGGGGCAATAAAATACACTTTAAAATTAAAACAGTCACAACCCAAAGAAAGGACAAATTTTCAAAAAATTTCCGTCATCAAAATCTCATTTCATAAATTGAATAAAATGACCATATTGCCTCTCTTTGAGGGCCAAAAAAAAAAGCCTCGCCCATCAGCAGGGGTTGCCACCAATGGTAGTTAGGCAATTTGCGATAGGGGTCAAGAAATGTAGGATTTGATCCCCTCATTTTAGTTTCTAAAAAATATATAACTTCACCAAAATATATACTCCTCCGATTCTAAATATAAAACTCTTATACCTTTATACTATAAGGGTGACCGGAGGAGTATAAAACTATTAAGCCGCTAAAAATTTTCAATAAAATAGCACAAAATAGTATGAAAGATAATTGCAAACTTTGACCATAACCATAGGTTAGGTATGAAGCACAATATAATAGCTACTGAGCATAGCATATTAAGTTATTAACAATTATTAATTACTATAATTATAACAGTTAGTTGATTAATTTGAAAAAATTCAGAAAATAAGTTTAAGTTAGTTATTTGTAATAAATATGTGTTCTCTTTCCTCAAATATCCTTGCTAATCCAGTATATTGGCTGGAACTGTCATTATTAGAAGGACTGCCTTAGAAAAATGTATAAATATTAGAGATAAAGTAGATTAAGATCTTATATTTCTGACCAAAATAATCGTTAAAGGAAAATTTTTGCCAATAAGATATTTTCAATAAAATTTATTAAAAAGACATTTTTAAAAAAATAACACAAATTTTTTATAAATAACTAATTTAAATAATTTTTTAGATTCTGATAAACTTGTAATAAAATTTTAAACCTATTGGTAAAAAGAGCAACTAATGGGGGGTGTGATATGGTCAATAGCTATTGAATTGAAAAATATCTTATTGACAAAAATTTTCCTTTAATATATATGTCATAATAAGGATAGTTCAAGAAAGAAAATTATAAACTTGAAAGAAAAAGTATGTTAAAATTTTATGCCAAGTACTAGAGGGAATACGTATAAATATCATGGGATCACGGGGCAACAGTGCCACTTTCTAGCCAAAAAGAAGAAGCAAATCTGAATATTTTAAATTTTCCTTCTCAGTGCTTCTTACCATGTCATTATATATATATATATATATATACTACCTCCGGTCCTAATTATAAGATCCAGTTGACTTATTTGAGGAGATTAAGGAAGTAAGTTAAGTTAGTTATTTGTAATAAATAAGTGTTGTCATTCCTAAAATATCCTTACTAATTAAGTATATTGGCTAGAACTATCATTATTAGAAGGATTATCTTGAAAAAAATGTATAAATATGAGAGACAAAATAGATTGGGGTCTTATAATTAGGACCAAACAAAAAGTCAAATAAGATCTTATAATAAGGACCAGAGGTAGTATATTTTTTCCTTGTTGTGTGAAAACGGTGTGATCATTTTATTAACTAGTCATTCTATCTAACATATGCAACAAGTGTGCTTAGTCTTCGATCAGCAATAAGCATTTCCATGTAAATGTTGTGCGATCAATAGACTTAGGATTACATTATATATGTTCCGGGATTGGATCCAAGAACCGACTCTTTGTCTGTCATTATTACGGAGCTCATCAAATTTACGTCATATATACATATGACACAAATTTATTAGTTGAATTAGGAGTATTTACTATTTACATAAATACAAATTTATAACTAACGAAATATTTAATACTGTTGGCTAAAGTATACATTTAATCCTTTAACTTTGTACAATGTTTCAATTTGATTCCCTAACTTTGAAAAATATGCATTTAGTCTTTTAATCTTAAAATCATTAGGTTTTAATGATGATTTTTTGTAACAATCATGGATGTTTTGAAAATTAAACTTAATATGTTAGCATTTAAGAATATTTTATCAACATTTAAGATTTTAATGTCATCATTTTTTGAAAAAAAAATTTCAGAGTTAAAAAACTAAAAGTGTATTTTTTAAACTTAAGGGATAAAATTAAAACCTTATACAAAGTTAAAAAACTAAATATGTACTTTAGCCAATACTGCTTACCAATCAAACAACACAACACAAGTTCAATGTAACCATAAGTGTTTACTGCCATTCCCCCCCCCCCCCCTAATAACTCACGTATCCATTGCATTATTTCCGTTTAAAGTTGCAACTTCACACTTAAGACTGGGCTACAAGTGCCGACTCATTATTAATCATTTTTATAAATAAAAGATTTGTGAATTCGGTCCATACCTATAATTATCTCTGACTTATAACTAGTTCATTAACAAATGTTAAGTTATGAAAATTATTAAATAATGCTCCTCATTAAAAATATGTATACTCTCCATTATTTCATTGTAAATTGAAGAGAAGGACTTTTGTTTTAATGATGTAATTATTATTTGAAAAATTCTTGCAAAATAACTTATACTTTAAATTATAGAAAAAATTTCTGAAAAATGACTGACAAAAAAAATGAAAGGGATTGAATCAGTAATTAATTTTTGATAAATTGATTCAGACAAGAAAACTAATAAATTAATTTCTAGCCTGATTATTCAATTAAAAATCAGCTGATTCAATATGTTAAATTTAAAGTTATCAAAATTAATTTGATTTTTCAAAATCATAAATTCTTATTGTTTTCAGAATCATTGTTAATCCGAATTCCGAACGAATCCTTGGTTAAGACATTTTCTATTTAAACGACTCGCCATTTCCATCTCTTGATATCTTTTGGGGTTATGCCTAGAAGCTCCCACCCCCAGTGGCTGGCCATCGATTGCCCCCATTCAAAATCCTGCACCCTGTGATTCTGTCCCCCACCGTATCAATCTTCATTACCAAGCACACTAATTAAGATCCATAATGATTAAAATTCTATTACGTAGCATTGCCTTGCATTGCCAAGCAGATGAGATCCAAAATCGAATCAAAAGGAGCTTTAGTTTTTATGAAGTAAAATATAATATGCTGCTAAAAAAATGAAAGTGCAGACATGAGAGAGGAGATTGAGATGAATAAGAGGGATCAGCAACACATAAAGTAGTGATGATAGAAGTACAAAGCACCACAAAGAACACGGCCCGAGTTCCATATTTTCTCCTTTCAGAAAAGGCCAGTAACACACCACCCTGTACGAACGACAAAACAACGCTCTCCATTTCCAATTCTCTCTCTTCACTGCTTCCAATGACCTCCAAAATTTCACAAACAGACCTGTGAGTTGAACCTCAAGAAGGAAGTATAACATAAACAAGAGATTGTCAATGGACCAACACATTAATTGATGGTGGCAGTGCCACTTATAGAACAGTGCACGAAGAGAAAAGCCAGAATAGCTGACTTAAGGATTGTTGACATGGGAATCCCATATTGTGCTTTACCAAATAGCCCTTTCAAGAAGGGCCACAAGCAAACCACCAAGTACACACTGCACAATACCTCCCCAACCCCACTCCCAT